GAATTTAGCCCTAAACGAAAGGAAGCGTTACACAGCGATTGAATTGAATTTTAATTAATCGATTCGCGAAATCTATTGCTTGATGACAGAGATTCGAAGAAGCGAGGAGAGAGACAGAGTAATTTTTTACAGATTTATGATGACGATGACACAAGAGTTATAATATATAACGTGGCGTGTCTCTCACTCTCAGCTAGCGCACTACGGTGGTTGGGGTGGGTTGGGAGCAAAGATGTCCGCCTACACCCATCTCCGCGTCCGCCATCATTATTTATCTACTCCAGCGAAAAAGAAAACAACTTGTACGACGTGAATAAACAAAACTCTCTGCTTATGGTCCGACTCCGTGACGCGCGCGCTCAGCGCACCGACCGAGTCTGCCAAAGGGAAACCTCTTCACGGTTTTCGACGACAGTGCACCGCCGCGTTCACTCACTCAACCACTTCCGATGACGTCACACACAAAATGCGCGCACTTTTCGACTACGTCACACACAAAACGCGCGCGCTGGCTCGACACGTCACGAACTCGGCAAAACAGCGCGGGCGAGCGTTCGCGTTGACGGCGATGGTGCGCCGGCGTTTAGAAGCGGCGAGACGGCGCGTTCGTCGACGATGACGGGAGGAGCGACAGGCCGCTGCTGATGACGGTGTGGTGCTTGGAGCGCATCACGCTCAGGTTGGCTTCGGCCTGCTCGGCGCGGCTCTCCGAATCCTCGAGCTCTCTCTGGTAGCGACGACCAGACGGCCTGTGACGTTTCTGGTTCTGCGGCTCTCCTGCGGACACGAACGTACGAACACCCCGCGTGAACAACGTGTGAGCAACCGTGTGAACAACGCGTGTGAATGAACGTACGAACAGCCGTGAACAACCGTGTGAACAACCGTGTGAACAACCCGTGTGAATGAACGTACGAACAGACGTGTGAAAGAACGTACGAACAAACGTACGAGTAGTCGTATGAACAACCGTACACCTGTGAACAACCGTGAATAAATAAATGTATGAACAGCCGTCTGAACAACTGAGTGAAATAATCCCCTCTCTCTCTCCCTCCCTCCCTCCTCTCTCCCTCCCTTCCTCCCCCTCCCTCCCCTTCCTCCCTCTCATCTGTACCCTGTTCATCCAGGCCGCGCTTGTACGACTGGGATCTTGACCTGGAACTTCTCGACGGTCTCCTGGCAGCACAACGAATGCGAGCGTTGTTAGTCCTCGATCTCGATAGACAGCTCACGTACGCGCCTGTCGCGGACCTTGATGCCCTTGTCCATGCCAGCACACTTCTTCCTCTCCTCGTCCAGCTCAGCCTCGGAATCACGCAGCTAGAGAGAGAAAGGAGTCAGATGAGTGAGAGAGGCGGAGGAGAAAGAAGAGAGAGAGTAAGAGAGAGTAGAGAGAGAGAGAGAGAGAAGAGAGAGAGAGAAGAGGGTAGAGAGAGAGAGAGAGAGAGAGAGAGAGAGAGAGAGAGAGAAAAGGGGGAGAGAGGGGTGATGAGTAGAGAAGAAGGGAGAGATTAGAACGATGAGAGAGGAGAGTAGATACGATAGATAGATAATAGATAGTATAGATAGATAGGAAGAATAGATGAGAGATAGATAAGAAGATAGGAGAGATAGATAGATTAGATAATAGATAGAGCAGATGATAGCTAGCATAGGAGTAAAGAGGTGGGTCTGAATATTGTGTGTGTGTGTGAGAGAGTGAGAATGAGAGAGCAGCAGGAGAGAAGAAGAGAAGAAGAGAGCAGAGACGAGGAGAGAGAGAGAGAGAGAGAGAGAGGAAGTAGAGAAAAGGTAAAGAGAGGCGGAGGATGCGAAGAGGAAGTAGGGAGGAGTGAGGTGAGAGTAGGGTGGCTGTATGCTAGAGGAGATGGGTGTTTGGTAGGTACATGTGGATGATGATATTACACTACCTTTACACGTCCTGGCATAGACACTGTGGCGAACTCAGTGGTTTAAACACAGATAATGTTTAGTCGTAAGCTCGTGCACTTGGCGCATTTTATCCACAGTGTCGGACACAATAGAGGCAGATTTTTGCTCAGGTGTTCTAGCAGATTGGTCAGCACCGTACTCACCCGCGCTGCCTGCTCCCATCTTGGCGATCTGTCGCGGCTTAGCAACGACCATGGCGTTAGTCCGTCGCACCTCAGCCCAACGAACCTGGAGATCCTTGATGTAAAAGAACGCACGCCCACCAGCATCAGCATTGCTGACGTTAGACGACGATTTCCCGTTAGATGCGCGCTGTCTGTGGGCCGGCATGAGAAGCAGAGGTGAGTATACCTCAAATACACGACCGTTAGGATCAATTATTATCATTCAGCACATCTTAAACATGGCCGCCGGTCTCACGTACGTAAGATTAGACGTGACCTGCACCCCACATAGATTTATTATATATGGCACCCAAATTTTATATCGATTTATATGTGGCCTGGCTCACACATGTATATTTATTTATTTTTTATATATATTATATATAGATAGGTATATATATATATATATATATATAATATATAATGTATATATCATATTGCGGGCTTAAGTAGCCTCGAGATGAGACGATGTGATGTGCGCATGCCGCAACCTGCTCCATCGAGAGACTTCGCAAGGGTTTGTCCAGCTTGAGGCATTTCTCTGTTCGTTTTACCGAAGCGTCATCAGTGCCACGGCGGGCCCTCCTTCAGCCTTCATGGCAGCGTCCTGGGCCGGCTGCCGAGCCTCCATCTGCAAATGAGAGAGGAAGTCGGGTGCTGTCAGGGGAGCGAGAGGAAGGTGTGTGTGGGTAAGGTGGGGCGCGGGTGTATGTGGTGAGCGGTTGCTGTAGTTAGTGTAGTGCGTGTGTGGTGTGTGCGCGCGCCGGAGTGCCGTGTGTGTGTATGTGTGGGGTGTGTGTGTGTGTGTAGTGCGGTGTGTTTTGTATAGGCGCGTGCTGTGCATGAGTGCCGTTGCGTGCATGTACGCATATATACTAATTAATGCGCCGCCCAACGTGCAATACGAATTTAACAAAACAGCAAAACAACACACCAAGTCTCCGCCCCCACCATGCTTGGCTCCATCACCACCCCATCCTCTTTCATCCCGGGCCTCGTGCTGGCTGCGCCCATCCTCCCTCATCTCCCGCATCTTCCTCAGGCCTCCCTTAACCTGATGTCATCCAGCGCTCGCTTTGAGAGTCCGGCGCGAGTTCGGCCTCCAGCTTGGACTTTAAGCGCCATAAGCATCTGACATTGCTGACGACAGATCGTTGACACGGACCGCTGGAAGGACACGGGTGACAGCGACGCAGTTGAAACACGGTGACACACGTTAACTTGCAAATTTCAACGCTAACCTGTGACACTGAACTTGTCAGAGCCCTGCTAGTATTTGAGAGCGAATTCTGCTGCTGCCTGCTTGCTGATGATGATGCTGCTACTGACTGCTGCTGCTGCTGGCTGATGATGATGATGTACTTACTACTGCTGCTGCTGCTGCTAGAGGCCTGCTACTGCTGCTGCCTACTGGTGCTGCTGCTGCTGCTGCGGCTAGCTACCTTACTACTACTGCTACTACTGACTACTCACTACTACTCACTAACTACTACTACTACTACTACTACTACTAACTACTACTACGTATTCACCTACTACTACTACTACTACTACTAACTACTACTACTACTACTACTACTACTACCACTACTACTACTACTACTACTACTACTACTACTACTACTACTACTACTACTACTACTACTACTACTACTACTACTACTAAAACGACGACGGCGGCGACAACGACGACGACGATGAAGACGACGAAAATAACGATGACGATAATGATGACGCTGCTATCGCCACTACTTCTCACCTGAGCATCGTCCAACTCGAGTTCCAGGTTCTTCTTCTGGCGCATGGTGATCTCGAGAGAGCTGCGAACTTCCTCGATCTCCGACTGCAGTAATAGACAGCGACGCTGCAGGGCGTTCATCTGGTCCAGGGTCTGCTGCAGCTGGCGCTGGCAGTCCTCGTACAGTCCCTGCAGGTCCTGTAACACGGGAGAAGAGAGAGAGGGAGAGGTTAGCGTACAGGTATGTGTACGAGAGGGAATCGCTAGTATTTTCAGTCTCGTAATGTTAAAATGTCCTTATCAACGGTCTAAGAGACAACATTACCCCTGTTTACCCCTGAGCGTAATTTCACTGTGTACTTTAGTGCCAATATATATATATATATATTTATATATAATTTATACATTTTTTATAGTGTATGTATGTAATTTTATTCGGTGCGCTCGTAGCGCCATCTACCTTGAGCTGAGCTGCGAGGGCCTTGCACTTCCTCTCTGCCTCGAGGCGGGCCGCGTTGGCGCTCTCCAGGGCCATCTCGAGTTCGTTGATTTCGGCCATGAACTTCTTCTTCAGGCGGTTGACCTCTGCCTTGTGGCGAGCCTCCATGTCGGCCATCTTGACGATAAGGGCGTCCAGCTCCATCTGCATCTGCTTGCTGCACAGGAACAAACATGGCGGTTGATGGAGGGCAGCGTAAGGAACAAACATGGCGGCCAATGTAGGATGGTGTGAACACAAGAGCAGAGCGAGCAACAAGAGCAGAGAGAGCAGCAAGAGCAGCGTAAACACAAGAGCAGCGCGAACACAAGAGCAGTGCGAACAACGGCATAGGCTCTGCTAACCGGACCACCGTCTTAACAATCATACAGAGCATTTTAATTTTACTGTTCATCTTCGTATTACCTATATGGGCTAAGCTACAGAATAGACACCAAAAAGGTTTCTAACATCTATATTAAACCAGCGTTCTCTCATTTAACTATGGGTCTCTATTTACCGCAGTGCCTCCATCTGATCTTGCAGCATCTGCAGTTTCTTCTCGTACTCGGCGCGAGTGTACTGCAGTTCCAGCGCCAGCTCCTTGCAGCGGGTTTCGGCGTGCTTGCGCGCAGCCTCCTCCTCCCGGAGAGCATCTTGAAGCTCTTTGTTGTCGGCTTCCAGGTGCGTGATGGTGACGTTCAGTTCCTGGATGGTCTTCTCCTGCTGGCTGATGCGCTCGTTGGCGTCGCGCAGGTCGCCTGCAGAGAGAGTAAGAGAGAAGGGTGAGAGAGGAGGGTGAGAGAGTGAGAGAGGAGGGTGAGAGAGTGAGAGAGGAGGGTGAGAGGGTGAGAGAGGAGGGTGAGAGAGTGAGAGAGGAGGGTGAGAGGGTGAGAGAGGAGGGTGA